GGCCAAGGGAGACCAGGTGCAGTTTAAACCCAGGCTGCTTGCGCTTGGCGTAGCCCCAGCCCCTGAATCTGGATTATTTACTAATATTAATTTGGCTGTTCGGGAGTGGGAGTGTTCTGCCACCTTTATAGACACAACCCTGCCCCGAATAGAAACGTTTTCTCTGCCTTTTTTCCCTTCTCATTTGCATTTTCTGGTATTCTTGCAACATCCATTAGTTGTGTCTTAAAGAGGCACTAAATATTTCCACTCCAGGGACGGAAGAACTAAAAGAAGGCACCTGCTTAAGCTTTAAACTCTCATTACACATCACATTGTCTCGGAAAGAATACACTTTCTGAATCCTGTAATTATCTTGCAAACAGAACTGTAATATTATGTCGCCTTTTTTTTTTTTTTTTCCTGTTAAAAGCGTTAACTCATTAAGGGCGAATGGTATCACACAAAAAAAGGTGAAGGCACCAGGAGTCATTTTAGAATTTTAGAAAGGATAAAGGTACTTCTAAAAAATCGTCCCAGGCAAAACATTTTTTTAAAAAAATATATGTCTTTATTGATTTCAGAGAGAGGAAGGGAGAGGGGGAGAGAGAGATAGAAACATCAGTGATGAGAGTCATGGATCGGCTGCCTCCTGCAGGCCCCCCACTGGGGATGGAACATGTGCCCTGACAGGAATCAAACCTCAATCTTCTGGATCCTACGTTGATCCTCAACCACTGAGCCACACCGTCTGGGCAGGAAGAAGTTTGAAGACTCTAGAAGGAGATCTGGCTGCAGAGCAGGTAAGTGATAATAGCTGTTGAATGTAGGAATTAATGAATGAATGAGTGGTGTGATTGAATTTGGATAAACTTCCCCCCTCCCAACAAAAGCAACCCCCCACAAACGCACAGGTGATGCAGGAGGATTTGGGTGGTATACATAGAACATTTTAGAAAGTTACATATTAAGTTAAGTGGATTTTTGAAAACAGAATAATTAGCCTACCAAACCTACGTTTTCATAGCTTAGGGTTATGGCAATCAAGTTTCTTTAAATACGTTTATTTCATTAAGTAAAAAGTGTGTCCATTTTAAAATTATTAAGTAGGTAATAGTACATTCTCTATTTTCTTCTGAAATATTGTATACCAAAAGGTTACCTTCAAAAGAGATAAAGGGCATACTATAAAGCAAGAAGAAAAACACACCTACATAACAGCATGGGTCTCATAAGTACACTGTTGAACAAAAGAGGCCAATCAGAAAAGATCCTGTTTCGTGATCCTATTGACAAAGTTTAAAAACAGGCAAAATGAGTCACCAAAATGAATCAGCCTTCCTGGGAAGCTGCCCAACGTTCCATTTCTCCAAACTCGAGCTGGTTACCTGTGCGCTGTTTCAATTCATGGAGAGACACCTCGGGAGTTGTGTATTTTTCTGTTTGCATGCTATACTTCCATGAAAAAAGTTTACTTTAAAAGAAGAAGATAAACTACAGGGCCAATAAATCTATGAAAGCTTCCCTTGGAATTCAGAAAAATGTAAGTTTGAAAAAAAAGATACAATTTTTTTTACCCTTTGGGTTGGCAAAGATTAAGTTTTATTTACCGCATTGTCTCAAACAAAAACGTCTGGTTAGAGGTGGTTGGTTTGATGTAGGATGCAAACAGACCCGCGCATTGCATTTGGTTATTATGGCTCTCAGGTCTTTAAAAAATCAATAATACTCCCCTCCCTTCACTTTTTGTACCTTTTACTTATAGAAGAAACTGGGTCCTTGGTCCTTGGATTTGGCCAATTTCTTCTGCTTCTTGTAACCCCCCCTCCATGCCCCATAATTTCAGGTAAACTGTTGGTTAGGCCTAGAGGCCAGATCAGGTTATGGCTCCAAGTGCTTTGGCCAGAACCCAGTGTAGGTGGCGCTGGTACTTCCTGCTACGAAGACAGGCGGGCCCGGGTCAGGACACCTTGGGGCCCCTCATTTCCCACCAACGCCTCGGTTCTGACCCCTGGACGACAGTCCCCTGGATCATTCAGGGCTGCAACAACGACTTTCTAATTCTTTCCCCTCCTTCCTCATTGACGAGCCGGACTTTTCTAAAAAGAACTTTCCCTCCGCTCTTTTGTGACCCTGCAGAACAGCTCGTTCAGGAAGGGTAAGCGGGATGCTAGACGGCTTTCCTTTTATTTAAATATTTCGGGATGAATGGACGAGCCGGTGCCCTTGCCATGGGCAACGGTGGCCAATTGTTGCGCACCCTTGTTAGGCTCAGTAACATATATATATGGATGGATTTCATGTTTTCCAATCAGCGGCAGTCACGTATCCTCGTGGAGGCTGTTGCAAGTTTTCCAGGCATGGATGGGTAGCTTTTTACAGAAAAGTTAAAAATTATTTAAAAAAAAAAAAAAAAAGGTGGAGACCCCAGCAGGTCAGGGAGGGCTTCCGG